CAACCTTGAAACCTAAAAAGTACTTCAAAGCTCCTAGGTCTTTGGTGCTAAACTTGGAATTGAGGAAGCCTTTGAGTTGGTTTATGTCTTCAATATTAGTGCCACCAAGCACTAAATCATCTACATAAACAAGGACAACTGTGAACCCTGTTGAAGAATGCTTGGTGAAGAGAGAATAATCAGCTTTGGATTGAATATATCCAGTGGCAAGAAGTGTATCAATGAGTTTAGTGTTCCACTGTCGACTTGCTTGCTTCAATCCATATAGGGATTGTTGTAATTTACAAACAAGACCATAGTTGGGGAGTTCCAGACTAAGAGGTTTCGTCATGTAAACTTCTTCATTTAGGTCCCCATGTAGAAAAGCTGTATTAACATCCAGTTGAAACAAAGGCCAGTCTTGAACTGCAGCAATGACCATAAACATGCAAATTATGGTCATTTTTACCACATGACTAAAGGTGTCCATATAATCTAAACCTTCAGTTTGTGTAAAGCCCTTTGCAACTAGACGTGCTTTATACCTTTCTATTGTACCATTAACATGCATTTTGAGCTTGAAAACCCACTTGCAGCCGGCGGCTTTCTTGTGAGGAGGTAGAGGAACAAGAGACCATGTGTTGGTCTTAATCAAGGTATTCAACTCAGTGTGAATGGCTTCCTTCCAGTTGGCATCACATATGGATGACTCATATGTATGAGGTTCATTTATGGCAGATAAATTCAGAATGAATTTCTTGTGGGAAGGAGATAAAGCATCATATGATAAGACATATGAGATATGATACTTACAGTGAAAAGAGAGATTGGTGCCAAAATCATCTGAAATGGGGATTGTACTGGCCATAAATTGCAATGATAATCTTGAAGATAAGTAGGAGGTTTCACAATTCTATGAAACTGCCTTAGACGCACGGGAAGAGTTTTGAGATGAATAGAATTTGAAGGTTGAGGGTCTGAACTGTGTATAGTTAGTTATTACCAGTCTTACATGTAATGTATAATTATCTATTTATTCTTTTTCTTCATTACTTTCAACAGTATATATATATATATATATATATATATATATATATATATATATATATATATATATATATATATATATATATATATATATATATATATATATATATATATATATATATATATATATATATATATATATATATATATATATATATATATATATATATATATATATATATATATATATATATATATATATATATATATATATATATATATATATATATATATATATATATATATATATATATATATATTGTTGGTGCACAAGGTTAATAAATGAAGGAAAGGTAAGAGAGAATAATATTAAAACTATGCAATAACGACTATAAAGTTGTAAGGAAGAATGATTTAACTACTTTATGACAGCTACCACTAATATATTTATACACAAAGTAAACTGTCACGTAGGCCTTAACAAAAGGTAAACTTAATAATTAAGTAAACTAAACTTAACAGCTACGCTAACAAAAAAACTAGAACCCCAGAGGCTAAACATACTTCTGGGTGTAACCTCAGAAGCTTTTGCTTTTGACTAACAACCTCAGACTAACAACCTCAGAAGCTCTACTGCTTCTGAGTAACACTCCTTCTGAGTAATAACATCATAAGCTTCTGATTCTAACAACAACTTCTGAATATGAATTACTTCCAACACCATCCCTTAATTCATATTCAGCTAACTAAAAAACTACAACACCTATTTCATCCCTCAAATGGATAAAGTGTTCAGTCTTAACATCTTTCGTCAGAACATCTGCAAGTTGCTTCTGATTGCTACAATGTGCAACTTTTAATACTCCATTTAAAAATGAAGATTTCTCCTTGAAAACTAATCTGACGCTGATGACTTTCTTTTCCTTTGGAAGCTCAGTTAACTCCAAGTCTTGTTTCTTTGTGGACCCTGGACTTGTTCAGGATCTCCTTCTAATTCTGTAACATAATCTTCTTCTGGAATTTCTTCATAAGCTCTACTACCACCAGAAACTCCACCTTTGTTAACTTATAGACCTCTTCCAGAACCACTACCTTCAGAAATACCATCTTCAAAAATTGGATCACCTTCATAAGCTTATCCTTTAGAAGTTCCTCCTTCAGAATCATAATCACCGTCAAAGGCTGAATTTACCTTTAGAAGCTCCCCCTTCAGATGGTGCACCTTTAGAGACATGATTTCCACCAGAAACATGATCATCTTCAAAATCATGTCCTCCAGAACCCACGTCTTCAGAGTTTTCCCTTCTAGAAGCATGATCACCACCATATTCAAAATATGGATCAGAATCAGATTCACCATCTTATTCATCTTTAAAGTCTCCAAAAGACTCTTCATTCTCTAACTCTGAATCACCTTCAGAACTTTCAAGTTCTGAATCATCTTCAGAAACAGAATCTCCTTCAGATTCTGACTCATCTTCTGATTCTTCTTCAGACTCAGAATCACCTTCGGATTCTGATTTGTCTTCAGCTTAAGAGTCATCTTTTAACTCCGAGTCATCTTCAGAAACCTCATATTCTAACTCATCTTCAGAATCTTTAAAGTCATCTTCTAATTTTGACTCAAACTCGTATTGTGATTCTGACTCATATAAAATCACTCCTTCAGAATCAGAATATTTAGAGTCATCTTCTTCCCTTTCAGAATCAGAAAATGACAATCTGACAGGTTCCTCATCAGATTCATAAATCATCAATAGCACAGGTTCATCATCAGAATCACCTCTGACTATTTTTGCTTCTTCTGATTTCCATCCCTTATTTGACCTACAATCTTTAGCAAAATGGTCAAACCCATTACAATAGTAACACTGAACCATTCTCTTGTCATACTTCTCCTTTCCCTTATGATGTTTCTTCTCATCAAAATAGAAGACTTCTGACTTCTGAGACCTACCATGTTTTTTCTACTTCTGGTCCTTCTTGACAAAAGAAGCTTTTAGAGCCTGCTCAACTTCTCTCTCAGAAGTTCTTTCAGTCAGACGCAACTCTTGCGCCTCTAGACTGCTTTGCAGCTCTTCTATTCTCATGGTGTCCAAATCTTTAGAATGTTCAATTGCTACAACAATGTAATCAAATTGAGGAGTAAGAGACCTCAATATCTTCTCAATGATTACTTGTTCAGAAAGAGTTTCTCCACAAGCTTTCATCTCATTAGTGATCATAATCACTCTAGAGATGTACTCAGAAACCTTCTCATTATCCTTCATGATGAGATTCTCATATTGCTTTCGTAGAGATTGAAGCTTCATCTTCTTCACTGATGTGTCACCACTGTAACATATGATTAGTATATCCCACACGCCCTTTGACATCATTGAATCTGAAATCTTCTCAAACACGTTCACATCCACACACTGATGGATGTAGAACAACACCTTCTGATCTTTCTTCCTTGTATCTCTCTGTGCATTTCTCCGTTCCTCCGTCGCATCAGCTACAACTGGAACATAACCATTTGTAACAAGCTCAAGAACATCTTGAGCACCAAACAATACACGCATTTGAATCATCCAACAATTTTAGTTTTTTCCATTAAATACTGAAAGCTTGGTGCTTAGACTACCATTTTCGGTCATCTTTAACCTTGTACAGAAACTCAGATCTCACATAGTGTTTTCCAATCTCACAGAATCAGAAAATGTGATTCTATTCAGATTTTGTTCAAGATTTAACACGAATTCAAGAACCAAAATCAATCACACAACGCCTCACTGTTTCATTCGTGTTTCCCATGAATCCAACTGAAGCTCTAGATACTAATTGTTGGTGCACAAGGTTAATAAATGGAGGAAAGGTAAGAAAGAATAATATTAAAGCTTTGCAATGACGACTATAAAATTGTAAGGAAAAATGATTTAACTACTTTATGACAGCTACCACTAGTCTATTTATACACAAAGTAAATTACCACGTAAGCCCTAACAAGAGGTAAGCTTAATAGCTACGCTAACAAAAGAACTAGAACCCCAAAAGTTAAACATACTTCTAGACGTAACATCAAAAACTTCTGCTTCTGACTAAGAATCTCAGACTAACAACCTCAGAAACTCTACTGCTTATGAGCAATACTGCTTCTGAGTAATAACATCATAAACTTCTGATTCTAAAAACAGCTTCTGAATATGAATTATTTCTTTTATATATATATATATATATATATATATATATATATATATATATATATATATATATATATATATATATATATATATATATATATATATATATATTGTTAGCATGACACATTGTTTTACAATAATAGGGCATTGCAAATTTGCATCCACGTGAATATTTGGACAAATCTATATCATTACTATACACAACTAACCAAACCAGCACATGTGCATGGAGCATGGTTACTGGTTCGGCAAAAGCAAAAAAACAAGGGTATAACAGTAAAGTAATTAGCAATGATTGAAAAAACCGAAGAAATACAAGGGTAAAATGGGAAATAATTATAATAGCGGTCATTATCAAAGAGACCCGGTTTGTCTCCTCAGAAGTGGATCTTCGCACGTTACTAGTAGTACCAACGTTAACACACAAAAAAAAACTCTGTCTGCTTTTTTTTTTCATATGCTTTCTCTCCTCACCACCCATAACCAACAAAAACTCTAATCTTAATCTCCAACAACACCTTTAACAACAATAGTACTATACTGTACTACCTACTTATACGCTCTCTCTCTCTCTTGGTGTTAGTTACTTCATGATTGGATGTTCAAAATTTGTGATTTTTTTGTTAAAAATTTGTTCTTTTGATTAAAACACATAAAGGGTTGTTGTAATGTGAGTATCTATTTGCAATGTAGTTAGTTAGTTAGTTATCTCATGAGGTATGAAATTCAGCTTTTTTCAATCTGGGTTACTCTTGAAACCGTTGCATTTGCTTTGATCTGCTTTTGGGGTTTGTGAAATTTTAAAAAAAGGTTAATTTTTGATGATTTTTGGAGGAAAAAACTGTGACCCTTATGAAGAATTTGAACTGTTACAAACAAGTTTCTAAGAATGGAAAACCTGGGAGGAGGTTTTCACTTGGGGAGTATCAGAGAGCAGTTTCCTGGTCTAAATATTTGGTGACACCTGGTGCTGCTATAAAGGGAGGTGAAGAAGAAGAATGGAGTGCTGATATGTCTCAGTTGTTTATTGGATCTAAATTTGCTTCTGGGAGACATAGTAGAATCTATAGAGGTGTTTATAAGCAAATGGATGTTGCTATTAAGCTTGTGAGTCAGCCTGAAGAAGATGAGGATTTGGCTGCTTTTCTTGAGAAGCAGTTTACTTCTGAGGTTGGTTTGCTTTTGAGGTTGCGTCATCCAAATATCCTCACTGTATGTTCTTCTTTCTTTGATCACTTGTTTTTGTTTTGTTTTTTCATTGTTCTGTACCTGCATTTCCATTTGTGTATCTTTGATTCAGCTTTTAGCCTCAGAATGTTGATTCTGAAGTTCTGGAATTGATTTTGTCTTTAGAATTGATAACTATGTGGCACCGACAGCTCTGAAAAAGAGGTGTGTCTGTATCGTGTCCGGTGTATGTGCTTCATAGATTGAGACTAACTTGAAACAATGTTTTGAGAGTTTTGTCCATATCATTGATTTTTAGTCTCAAATTCGTTTCAACTCACTCTTACATAATGTGTCTGCTTGTACATAAATTATTTTACATCCAACTCACTTTTAGTCGCCGTAATTGATATTGTAAAACCAAATTATTTCAAAATCAACTTAGATATTGTTACTGATCAATTATCAAATATTTATAAGTGCCGTGTTTGAGTGTGTGTTTGGAGAACTTGAAAATCACGGTGGGACAGAAGCTACAGAGATCAGCTTCTCAAAATCACGGTGAAAAAGGCCTTAAACGTGATGCAGCTAAATATTTATAAGTACATGAAAGAGAATGTTGTTTGAGTAAAGTTGAATGCTGCTGATTTTTATTGATTCTGCAGTTCATTGCTGCTTGCAAGAAACCACCGGTTTTCTGTATAATCACCGAATATTTAGCCGGTGGTTCATTGAGAAAATACCTTCATCAACAAGAACCACATTCAGTTCCACACGAACTCGTTCTGAAATTAGCACTAGACATTGCGAGGGGAATGGAATATCTTCATTCCGAAGGGATACTTCACAGAGATCTCAAATCAGAGAATCTTCTCTTAGACGAAGATATGTGTGTAAAAGTAGCTGACTTTGGTATCTCATGTTTAGAATCTCAGTGTGGAAGTGCGAAAGGATTTACCGGAACGTACCGTTGGATGGCTCCAGAAATGATCAAAGAAAAACATCATACTAAAAAAGTCGATGTTTATAGTTTCGGTATAGTTCTTTGGGAGCTTTTAACCGGATTGACTCCGTTCGATAACATGACGCCAGAACAAGCAGCATTTGCAGTTTCATACAAGGTTTGTACCGTAATTTACTTCGATATCAAATGAAATATTCTCCTTTGTCCAATACATTATTCATAATAACATGCATTGTTTTGTACATGCATTTGAGCATATGGGGTTTTTGATGGTTAATTTGTTATGTGTCTTTGTTGAACGTGTGGAGGGTGGGCAACAATCATTCTTTGTCTGAGGTCTTTACAAAGCATGTGGCTGTGTTGGTGTTTGAGATTTGCTTATATAAGCTAGACACATTGTTAAAGTAACTTTATAATCAAATTATTAGTGGTTTCTCTTATTTTGTGTGACATCTAAATGATTGTAATACTTTATGCGGCATTTTTATGTGAATCAGTTATTGCTCTCACCACTTGCCTCTCCGCCAGGAACGTCTTTGAAGGCGAGTTAGGCGGCCTCTGTACATGGCTCAAAATTTGTCACAGTTAAACAGTGGTTAAATAAATACGACTTTATAAAATATTGTCGGTTAAATCGTGGTTAATTTAGTAGAGCATCTATTTGTTTTGTTACTGTTAAAATGCAGCTAATCTACACGGGACTTCTAAAAACTTGTGACGGCTCCGTCACATGCTGCACACAATTGTATAGATATTTTATTCATTGAGCAATGATATTGAGTTTGATGAATTTTTTATTCTCTTGCAGAATGCAAGACCACCACTACCATCTGAATGTCCTTGGGCATTTAGTAACCTGATCAATAGATGTTGGTCAAGCAATCCAAAGAAAAGGCCACATTTTGTCGAGATCGTTTCAATATTAGAGCGATTCGCCAAGTCACTTGAACGAGATTCAGAATTTTTCTCGACTTACAAACCACGACCTTCTAATACAATTCTGGGTTGCTTTCCTAAATGCAAGGCTCGCCAAAAATCTGTTACTTGCAAAGCAAAGTAGTAGTTGCTGCTACTACTCAAGCACTTGAAGGTTTTCAAGTTATGTGCTGTTCTGTGAAGAATTGTGTTATATTGATTCTAATGAACAAAAAATTTGTTCGATTAATAAATGCAATTCTCTTTTAGTTGAATCAACCTTTTGAGTAATATTATGATTAACAGAAATAAATTTTCAGTAAAAATCAAGTTAGAATCTGGAGTTGTAATTAGTTTTATGTTTTGTTCTCTAGAGTTGATATTAGTAATTGTGTTGTATTAACGATCAATATTCTTAGTATACTAGCTAGTATTTGCCTCCATGAAACTGTAAATTATTGATGGATTTTGAAATGTACAGTGGACTTAATTTTTGGAAATGCATGAGCATACCACACCCTTGAAAATCTAAAATTGCACTTTATGTGTCCGGAAATACATTTCTAGATGGTTTCAAAATCACACCAATCTTCTGTTTTCCGAGTTTTATTTCAGTTAACGTTTTAAAAAAATATGATTCAGAGATGCATCTCTGTGTAATATTTGAGTGTTTTTCGGAGATGTATCTTCGAAATACCCGTACTCATTTATGGAATGTTGTTATTCATGCATCAACCTCTCTGTTAAAAAAATAAAGGTAAGGCTGCGTACATCTGACCTTCCAGAGTCCATAAAGTGGGAGTTTCGTGCACTGAGTTATCCCCTCCCCTATCTCCGAAAATGCCCAATGGAAAAGTTGATAAAACACCACCTTGCATGAGCTTCTTCTTCATGCTAAAAGAAGAAACCATTGGAAAACCCTTGAAAAAAACTCTCATTCTCAATCAACTTTTCAACACCAAAACATCATTATTGTATTTCATCACTTCAAAGGGAGCAAAGAAAGATGGAATTGCAGGTAATGCTCATTCATTTCAACCTTCATTCCTTGCATTAATCCAAGTTTGTAGTTGAAAAATGAACGTTGAGTCCGAAGATGCATTTCCAGAGGAAGTTTGGTGTGGTCTGGATGTGCATCTCTGAAGTTTCATGATAGTTTGAATTTTAACATTGTTTTTTTGTTATTGGTGGTAATATGTATGGTGCACCTGAATATGTTTCCCAAAGCTATTGTGTGTGTGGATGTTAAACCGATCAAAGTGAAGCATGATGTTAAATCGAATGAAGTGAATGATGATATTCAACCGGACGAAGATATTAAACTGGATGCTCGATCGGTCGTTGTAGAGGTAGACGTCTGTGCACAATTTACAAATAAAGAAGTGTTTTTGTTCGGGAACATATGCTACAATGGGTTCGTAGGAAGGCCGGAAATTGGGGTTTAGCGTTGTAATTGAAAGGTTCGACAATGATTCGGATAGAAGACAAGAATTTGTAACAATGGTATGTGAAAGAAGTGGCACGCACCAACCAAAGATTAGGAAGTTGAAACGAGATGACACAGGATCGAGGAAATGCTAGTGTCCATTTAAATTGTACAGATACTGTATGGCAGATGAGACATGGGAATTTAGTGTGATTTATGGTATGCATAATCATGGCTTGGATGACAAGTTAGCTGGTCATTCCATTGTATGTCGCCTTCTTGCGGAGGACAGAGAACTTATTTCGAACATGAGATTAAACATGGTGGCGCCAAAAAACATACTCGCGTCTTTGAAACGGAAAAGACCTTTAAATGTTTCAAATATCTAGAAAATATACAATGTGTGTGTTCGAGACAACAAGGCGGTAAAAGAACCAAGATCTGAGATGCAACAACTGTTGAAGCTTTTGGAAGATGTTGACTAAGTTTCGAGATACAAAATTTATGAGGATAAAGTCATCGATCGAGATATATTTTGGAGTCACTCTGATTCCGTGAAGTTGTGCAACTCATTTTCCTCCGTGCTCATATTGACTTAACATACAAAACAAACAAGTATAAGCTTCCACTCTTGAAAATTGTTGGTGTCACTTCTACGGAGATAGCTTATTCAGTCGATTTTACATTTTTGGAATTTGAAAAAGAAGACAACGTTACATGGGCTTTAGGAATATGCAAGACTATGTTGAAGGACCAAAAAAATGTGCCATAAGTGTTGGAATTGAGACTTCACACACAAGAGGAAGGGTGAATTGTGTGGTTTGGAAAAATATGGTTTTTAAACTTTTCAAGATTGAAATCATAGTTTGAAAATAATTTTCTATATGTAAGCTGTAACACCCTTCTAAACCCACGCGGAATATTACGTCATAAATCAGAGTAATTATAACATGCATTTCAAAAAAAGGGTGCCACACATACTCCATACATCACAAATCGATATCATACTCAAATAACACTAAATTAAATTCATGCTTTTCATATCACTTCACATAAGCATGTCGCAGCAGAATCCCTTTCATTAAGAATCTCATAATATTCAAGTCTCAAATAAACTTCATTAATTTAATCAACTTAGACATACAAGCCACTTCACCATATAATTCAATTAAAGTTATAAAAAATAGAATAAAGTACATAAAGTATCTCTCCAAAAATATGAATCCAAGCGTTTCTCCAGTGTTACATGATTAGAGCATGACTCAATCCAAAATAAATACGGAAATAAAATAAGTTAACTCCTTCAGCTACTCTCTGGCTAGAAGCAACTCTAATCTTCAGTACCTGAGTGATGTTGTATAAAACATCATTCCAACAGAAGAGTGGGAATTCACATATCTATCAAGAATCATATAATAATATATAATGTTTAGCATACATACATATAGATCATATTCTCACACTTCATAAGCTTTATAAAACATAACATCACCCAGTTCATTATACCATTCATAAAATAACCAATAACCCATAATTTCACAGCTATATTAATTTGATCATTTTCACAATTTTACAACTTTACATAATATACATAATCTCTTATTATGACAAAAAACACCATATGACTCAATACGAGACTCAAATGCAATACTCATGCATGTGATATCAATCACTGTTATTTTTATTCGATTTTCACTTTAAACCAGGTCCGTCCTCTAGACCAATAACATACAAAAAGTCCGTCCTCTAAGCTTTCAAACCCTTCTCTAATTTTAAGACAAGTCACTAGCTTCCTCAAAACTAACAAGCATGCCTCTTGACAACAAATGATGTATGTGTAATTATAACAACCATATGCAATTAAGACTATTATCTAATATTGTCATCCATGCATACTTCAATAATTCATCACAATTGAATTACCACACAATTACAAACACATGCACATATTTATGAATCATCCACATACAATTCATATTCATTTACAACATTCTACCAAACAACATATTATGCATACATATTATGCATACCACACAACACAACGTCATGGTACCACCATTCACCAAACATGTTATTGTTAGAACAAGATTTGTGTCTATAATATAATCTCGATGTTTTGATGATAACAACACATATATTTGATGAGAAACAATTTTAGTTCTAATAAGTTTCTTGAGTGTGCAGATAAGAAATTATAATTGATTTAGGACTATTGTCTGGAGAATAAGAAATACACCAAGCACATCAGAAAGACTGTTCGCTTCTGAAGAAACATCAGTAGTTCAGAAGAATGCTGAATGTTCGTCAGAAAGAATCAAAAATCAAGATTGTTCAAGAAACAAGCTTCCAATGCAAATATCAGAAGTCATGATTTGCTCATCAGAAAAGTTGTTGCGTATAATTCTGAAGACAAAGTCAAGGCTCTGAACACATGAAGAGAAAGCTTCTATTTCTGGATCAGAAGACAAGACTTGTTCATCAGAAGAGTTGTTGCTCATATTTCTGAAAGACAAAGTCAAGTGTATGAAGACTTAGATAGTTCATGGAATACACACTTCAAATCAGAATAAATGATGAAAGAAAGAAAGATCTTCTGGACTCAATTCAAATCAACATCATATAGTACATTAGAAGACAAGATCAAAGAAAGACATCCTCTCAAGCTAATCTACTCAACAGAAGAACTATTATGACTGTTTCTAAAGAAACATCAACAATTCTAAGGAATGTTTAATATTCATCAGAAAGGGAATCAAATATGTTCTCAAGATAGCTTCACTCTCAAGATATCAAATACGAAGATCTCAGATATCCAGAGAAAGAATTCAAGATCAGAAATCAAGATGTAGCTGACATAAGTTGTTACTTCCAGCTCAATCCAAAGATCAGAAAGAAAGAAAAGGAATTCGACGTTAAAATTAGATGTACTGATATAAGCTTTTGCTTCAGAAATATGACATCATGATTGCAACTTTAAGAGTCTTTCAAGTGTACTAACTGCAAGTTCACAGTTTAATCGCGTAGTTTTAAAAGACATCGAACCCGTGGAGACTAGTAATTGAATTACTGTTATCTAAAGCTACCGTGTAAAGCTAAGGCTAATAAATATTAGGTTTTGGGGTAGACGAAAAATAAGGTTAGACTTAATTGAAATATTTAATAATGGGACATTGGTACGTAATAGCCTGACTTCAGGAATTCAGTAATTCATTGCCATAGCTTTGAGCATTCAAAACACTATTCAGTAGAAACTATCAGTTTAAAAACCTTTATCTCATACTCTTGTGATTGTTGATTCGGATTATATAATTAAACTTAAATGCTTTCTCTCGTGGTCTCATTTAAAATCCAAAGATACTTTTTGAAAACAAATAGAATCTAATTAATCATAAACACTCTCGCTGCATTCAAAATTAATGTGTGATTACCACTATCCAGTTAAAAACTCACACTCTCGTGATTATTGGTTTTAGCCTTAGTCTGTCTCTTACTCTCGTAACAAAACAGTTTTATATTGAAATTTGGAAACAAAACCAGAAAAGTATTTTTATAAAATGTTTATGCAAATTTATTACCGAACCCTTCGGTTTGTGACCTTACATACCAGTATCACGGAAATTAACCGGACATATTATTGATTATGAACACAAAATACCAACAAACATATAATGATTCAGGCATGAATGTATTTTTGAGTTATCAAACTCCCATATACTTGA